TTAAGCTATTTTGCTCACTAATGTCTTTAGCAGATTTAGCATGGTGTCCATTCTTTCCATTAATTTTTCCATCATCTGTTCGGATTTATTTATATTTACTTCTTTTAAGTGTTTATTTGTTTCTGGCTGGTTATTTATTTGTTTTGATTCTTCTGTTATACTCTGTATGTTTTGATTAGCCGTTACTTTGCCATATGATATGTTCGTTCTTACTCTGTTTCCATTTGAATTTAAATCAAGCTGAATTTGGCTGTTTATTGGGTTGACTGATTTTACTTTCAATCTAGGAAATAATTTTTGTTGTAACTCCTTACGAAATGGGCATCCGTTATAGCCCGCCCTGTAATTACCTTTACAATTTGCAAATCTTACTTCTTTCATTTTTTCATTAATTGGGCATTCCTTAGTTTTACGGCTTTGTGCATATTTGACACAAACTGTTCTGTTATAGAAGTAATTTTTTCTGTGCCCGAATTCTTGACAATTTTGACATTGAAGGGTGTCTTTTTTTAAGTTAGGCGGTTCAAATTTAATTACTGTGTTGTAACGGTGCCGGTGGATTCGACCTGCACCGTGTGTTCCCCATCTCTCCCTACCATCGGCGTGGACTCATGGCAGACCTATAGCACATAATTCACGTGCCTGATGCATGCCTGTATGTTTTCAGCATCGCCACCGCAACGAGCAAGAGGAAGAAGGATAGAGAGAGGCAATGGCATTGGTCGGCAAGAGCGCCTGTTACTATGCGCTCTTGTAGGAGAGAAAGAGAGAGAGTGAGAGAAAGAGAGAGATAAGAGAGAAAGAAAGAACGCGATTAGTGTAGGCAGGCGCGTGACACTAGCTGCACTTGACGGTGCCGCGTGCCGCCGATTAGGCAAGAGAGTGGGGAGAGCGTGAGAAGCAGTCTCTCACGCACTCGGAAGCGTACTCGCGACGGGCAGTAGAAAGCCTTTAGCAGAGATGTGCTGACCCCCTGCAGTCAACCGCAAAAAGATAAGAGGGAACCGAGACGACATTAGTATCGGCTACGGATCCAGCCCATCTTTCGTCGAGTTCTTCCAACTACGGATAGATTTGCCTGCATTCGGACGCCATCACCATCTTCGGCGAGGCCCTGCATCGGAGATCGTCAATCGTCAGGTCAATTTTCTAATCTCTCTCTCTCTAATTCTCACTCTAAGGCTACTCACGGCTTGTGCGCTGTGCCAGGCTCTCACGGGCCGGCGCGGCTGGTTCGGTTATTAGCCTAAGTTTAATTATATCGAGTCGGTATCGAGATGGCAAGGCGCTAACGTGCCGGCCATCTCTTTTAGCGATCGTAGATTGTAGTGTAGATAATAAGACGCGCGTTTGAATGTCCGAACTGTATGCTCAGGGTAGCATGATGTAATAAAGGATTTATTAAGATAAAGGGAATGATTATTGCGTCCGCCTTTCTCTTTACCTTGTCAGGAGCGATATACCGCCTCCCTTACCCTCCCCCTTTTAAATAATTGGTAATAGCGATAGGTGCATCGGCGTTGCAAGCCGACACTATTACAGTGTTCAGTAATCTGTTAATTTTGTACGTATTTAGGCTCTTGTGGTTATGTTTTGTTCCAACTGTAAATAAAGGAATCAGAAGTTTTGTGACTCGATGTAGCATATTGCGAATACTTATCACGTTGTGTCCGTATTCTTCAATAGCTTTTTTTATGTCTTCAATGTCGACTGATGAGTAAATACTTCTTAAGATGACTTAGAAACCATTGTCCTCTTTTCGCTGATAAGCGTAGAATTAAGTGTTTTTTTCTTTTAGTGCACTTACGATCGGCGGGTACTTTTTAGACGTTGTAGGTAGGATTTTCACTTTGTTGGATGCTAGCACTTTCAAAGTATAACCGTCTTTGGCAACTACATTAAAAACGTTTTCCAAGGGGCACATATTCTTGACATAATAAACAAATATCGGCGGTACTTTATTTTGTATGAATCTTTAAGTTTGCTTTCTTAGATTTTGCTGTATTCTCTTCTTGGCTTTGTATTTCGTTGTCATCTTGTTGAAGTACTGAAAATCTATTTACTGATTGGTTTAGCTAATAATCCATTAGTTGCGCTTGCTTTTTACTAGAGATTTGGTCTCCTGGGCTAGTACTTAACCTTTTGTAATTTCCGCATTTCCACTTAATATTGTTGTTTGTTGTTGGGGTTGATATATCATCTCCTAATTATTTGGCCATTTTTGGCTATCACTATTTGTTATGCTCCTTCATTATTAACCGAGCGCAATAGAACGTCTGATCTTCTTGAGTGTCAAACGTAGACTGGAATGCAAGCATGGCATTGATTATTATTGTCGTATCAATATTGAAAATGTAAATTATATATGTGAGGCATTATTTCTGAACGTTACCCCCCGCCCCGGCTTATTTTTCTATACAATGGCATGTATTACCATGAATACAATATCCATATATTAACAATATATAATGCTATATTTAACAATATATTATGGTACTACCGCAAAAAATAGCTATAATTCATAGTAAATTTTATTTGATAGAAAACATGTGAAATATGAACATGTATATATTTGAAACGTTTATATTATACACATCTTTATATTTCAGATGTTTCCTATGAAATGAAATTTATTATGAATTGTAACTATTTTCTGTGGTGGTGCATCGAGAGCAGGATATATTGTTAAATAGAACATAATACCTTATTAATATGTGGATATTGTGTTCGTGGTATTACATGTTATTGTATAATTGAAGATAAGTTTCGAAAATAACAAAATTATTTTACTTACGCTGCTGTTATTTTAATGCCATTCCTCTGAAACATTTTTATTATTTATGTATTTCAAATTTATAAATGATGCACATGCCCGAAACGATTTTGCTAAAACTTGCAATAGTAGACTTAAATGGATGAAACAAATAAAGAGGATGATTGACCTTCATACCTTATTATGATACCTTATCTGACCGTACAATTTCCGAAGAATCCGAATCCGTGATACAAAATTCGGGTTGTTAGTTAAAGAACAAAGTTGACCTTAAAGTGACCTTAAAAGTGACTTCCACTGTCAATATGCCACTCGGCAACCGAAAGCTTCATTTTTTTAAATAAATTTTAATATTAAAAAAATTCTTTAAATTAAAAAAAAATAGGTAGAGAGGGGTAACGTTCAAAAAGAATGCAATATATATAACACACATATGTGTGTTATACAGGGTGTCCCATTTTAACTTGCCCAGTAGGATATCTCAAAACTTGGCAAGGTAATCGAAAAATATTTCAAACCAAAGTTATATGGTTTCGAGGGGGTCAACTTATGATAACCTCAAACTTGACCTTGAATTTGATTTTTAAGGTCATTTCAAGGACAACTTCGTTTTTTGAAGTAGGAACCCCAATTTTTGACTCCGGATTCAGAATCTACGATGAATTCTACGTTCCAATGATGTATCATATGTGGGGTCCGGAAGACCCCCAAGATCACTCAAAGGTAAACTTTGTTCTTTTGAATAGGAACCCCTACTTTTGACGTCGGATTCGGATAGAGCGAGAATTTTGAGATTAAATGAATTATTAAATTATAACTTTTCAGATTGAATGAATTATAATTTCAACCTCTCAAAGTTATGTGAAAGTCAAAAATGGGATTTCAAATTTATAATTCAGGTAAGTAAAAAAGCAAAGGGAGTTTGTAGCTTAGATTCAATTTATTCATGTATCAATGAACAGAGTTCAGCAAGCAACTTATTTGGGATACAGCTCGTCATAGCGAGTAACATTATTTATTTTCAAATAAAAAATAATTTTAAATTGATTATAGCAAGTGTTCAATTGGTCCTCCATTATTTTCTAAACACAATTCCAATCTACGACAATAATTGTTTATGATAGCTCTGAGTACTTCTGGCGTGACTGCTACACAAGTCCTCCTGATTCTTTCCATCATGTCTAATCTAGTAGTGGTGCATCTCCATAAACAGCATCTTTACTGAAACCCCAAAAATAACTATCTTATAGATTGAGATCAGGTGATTTTGGTGGCCATGGGATTGATCCAACACGACTTAGCCAATGATTTCCAAACTGACCATTCAAAAATACCCTAACATTGCCCGCAAAATGAGCTGGAACACTATCTTATTGGAACCACATAAGCTGTCTAATATTCAACGGAATGTTCTCTAAATATGCGGGCAAATGGTTATCTAGAAAGTCAAGATGTCGGGGGCCATTGGCTGTACCATCAAAAAAATGTGGATCAATTATATGCCCATTAAAAATTCCGGCCCAAACATTAATACTCTAACAATATTGATTGATAATTTGACGATGCCAGTGAGAATTAACAAGGGACTAATAATGACTATTGTGTTTGTTAAGCTTGCCATCACTTTTGAAAGTGGCTTTGTCAATAAATCAAACGTTTATCATTTGAACGTAGAATTCATCGTACATTCTGAATCCGGAGTCAAAAATAGGGGTTCCTATTGAAAAAACAAAGTTGACCTTGAAATGACCTCGAAAATAAAGTTCAAGGTCAAGTTTAAGGTTATCATAAGTTGACCCCCCTCCGAACCATACAACTTTTACAAAGTTTGAAAAAATGTTTGAAACATTTTTCGATTACCTTTCCAAGTTTTGAGATATCCTACTGAGCAAGTTAAAATGGGACACCCTGTATATAAACACACACATACACAAGTACAATGCAAGTTGATACTTTAAACTTACATTACTTCTGTATTCTACAATTATAAAATAAATTTCAAAACGATGACATGCAGTATCGATATCTGAATCCTTAAACATTGGATTATTATCATAAATCGTGAACACTTATTGACTATAAACGGGGATATTGACACTACATAATGCGGTGGCGAGAAATTGATTTTACAATAATTAATCCACGCACATATGCATGCACGCGAACATACACACACACACAGACACACACACATATGTAATAGATTGAAATTTTGGGAAATTTCCAGGAAACAGAAGTAGAAACAAGCCCAGTCAGTCAATCACCGATTATAGCTATCTTAGTTATTTCTTGTAATCGAGTAACTGTCAAAAGATGTCTTGATCGACTTCTGAAGTTCCGTCCCAATGATCAACAATTTCCTATTATAGTTTCTCAAGATTGTGGACACTATCAAACTAGCAACGTTATCAAAAGCTATGGAAAGAAAATAGTTCATATTCAGGTAAACTAGTTATCTAATAATTTTTATAATTTACTCCGAAAGTGATCCTTTTGATTACGCTAATAAAATGTATAATTACTTTTATTTTTATACATTATAACGGGGTTTTAGCTAACTCGTCGTTATAATCGAGAGGATAAAATGATTGACAGCTCGGCTTTACCAGTTACGAATGCCACGAGGCTAGTACGCTGGTGCACGTGTGGCCAAGCCCTTCAACTAGCCACAATGTCAAGCAGCCTCGTGGCCCGCGTAGAGCGTCGCAGGTGGCAGTGGCTGAAAAGCGCGAAAAGTAGCGACGAGCGCAGAGAATTCGCTAAGGATAGGGAGTGAGAGTCGGGTGCAAAGTCAGAGAAGCACAGAGGATAAAAAGGGTAAAAATAATTTATATAAAGCATCCAAGGGAAAGCATACAGAGCAGTAAGTCGGCAAGGAGAGAGAGAAGCGGCAAGCCTGCAAGAGAGAGCTAGACGAGTCGGTACTTACAATGCGATGGCAATGGCCAGGCCCTCTGTACAATGAGTATTCGCTCGCCGAACGGCGTTCCCGGACGCCGGATGCAGCGGTGAAGAAGCGAGGGACTGCCTAGCACTAGGCTCCAACACGCGCACACCACTCTGTCAAATCGCCGCACCACTGTACGCACTCGCAAACGATCCCAGGCAAAGCCAGGTCGAAAGTCCAAGCACTCCAGTAAAGAGAACAAAGTCGAGGAATGCTAAACCGCGGCAGCTGCCCAAGCAGAAAAAAAAGGAAAAGCCTCTGCTTCAATGCGCGTCCAGACACGTGTCGCCCGTGTTACGTTTGCCAGTCAATTGCCGCGGGAGGCGTCCCCACTCTTTCATCGCGCTTTTCGGCAGCGCGACCACACGCATACACGCATACACGCGGACGCGACTCTCCCTGCTTGTAGGCTCGTTAGTAGACATACCGGGCTCTCTCTCTTACCTTACACTTCGACGTTGTCGGCTGCTGCAGGCCGCTGTACAATATAATAATATAATTCAAATATAGTATAAGTATATAAATTGTGTACATGCATGTGTGGGAAGAGAGAGACATAACGAATGAATTAAATTCGTTATAACATATGATGATAGTAAAAGAATATAAAACTAGAAGAAATGAAAAATATTGAATGAAACTTAAAATAAATATACTATAGCTGAGCAGAGGATTAAGTATTTTATAACGTTGAAACAGTGCAGGGCGTTTCGCCCTTTAGCATTCGTCTTTTTTTATGACGTACCTGCCGTCACCTCACTAAAAGTATATATATTGTTTATCTTCCGACAGCATTAGTTATTGGCCGTCGAAAGAGCAGTGTACCAGTAGTGTCAATTTGGCCGTTTAAGGATTAAAAAGGATCGCGGAAGGGTTATTTTCAACACAGAAACCGCGGTTTAATTTCTCAAATGAAGCAAATAAATACAACAGAATCAAAGGGTGAAGACCCTGCAGGAATTTAGGACTACAACGATTAGCCTCAGGAAAAGCTCCGGAGTCGATGGTATTGTTACGTCTTGGGCGTTAACTACTTGTAAAACCTAACATTTAAGACGTACTAATATGAAATCTAGTGGGCAAGGCTCACTTATATTTTCCATACAGGGTGAGTCATTTTAATCTATGGACCCCTATATCTCAAATTCTATGCATAGTACAGAAAAATAGTTCAGTCAATAGTTGCTCAATACCAATACCATTTTGGTGATCTTAAATTTGATCTTGAACATGGTAAAGGTTATTCCAAGGTCAATATTATTTTAAATAGGAACCCTTACTTTTTATTTCGGATTCGGATTCTCCGTTAAATTTTACGTTCAAATCATGTAATATATGTGTGTGGGGTCCAAATGATCTACACCCCCCCCCCCCAGTTATTTCGAGGTCTACCTTACTTTTTAAATGAAACCCCTCATTTTTCGTCGCAGATTTAAATTCTACGTGAAATTGTACGTTCAGATGATGGGATATTTATAGGGTCCGAATGACCCCCAATCTACCCCTATTTCTCACACAGGATTTGGAAAACGCGGGAAATTATTCGTCCGGAATAATATTTAAAGGTTTCTTTTCGTGACCTTCCTAGGGTTAATTCAAGGAAAAATTTTTAAAAAGTTAGATAATAATTTTTTCAAGTTTTTTGACGAAGAGTCGCAGCAAAAGTAGCTTTCTAAGATATATTGAGAGGTTATTGAGGTATTATTGAGATATTATTGAGAGATTATTGAGAGGCATTATTAAAGGGTTGACTCTTACGTGCGGGATGCTTATTTAACGTGAGTCTCCTAGTCCCTCACGTTCGGAGTGCTTGTTTAACGCGAATCCCCTTGCCTCTCATGTTCGAGGTGCTTGTTTAACGTGAGTCCCCTTGCCTCTCACGTTTGCCACAATTGATTTCATTAGCAACGGATAAACTGTTCAAAGTTTCTTCCGTTGTTTTCAATACACAATCGTATTATTCTTTCAAAACTATCCACAATTTCAAGCAAGACTACTCGAGGGATGGCTTCACAAGCTATTCGAATTCTGTGCCTCATATCTTCTATGGCCGTGGACTTTAGAGCATAAACAACATTTTTTAAGTATCTCCACAAATAAAAATCAAGCGATATTAGATCCGGAGAGCAAGCAGGCCATTCAACTAAGCCTTGTCGTCCAATCCACCTGCCATTGTAGTTTTCATTCAAAAACTGACCTACAACGAGTGAAAAATGCGCTGGAGCACCATCATATTGAAACCACATTCTTACTCGCGTTGCTAAGTCAACGTCTTTTGACAGTCTCGGCAGGTAATCCCGTAGCAAGTAAGTATGTCTATCAACGTTTCCGTCAAAAAAATAGGGTCCAATCAAATAGGCATTTACCACATCATACCACTGGACTCCATCGATTCTTATGTTCAAAAGCTCTATACCAGTGGGGATTTTCGTCCGAGCAATAGTGACAGTTATGCCTATTGAGCTGTTTATCATTGTGAAATATAGCTTCATCTGAGAAAAGTACATTTCGAAAGAAATGAGGATCATTGCCTATCATTTGCAAAGCCCATTGACAGAAATTAACACGCGCCAAAAGATGATGTGATCTCAAGGCTTGCGTCAGAGTAATGTAATAAGTGTGAAAGCGATAAACTCTTAAAATTTTTGAGACTGTACGTTGTGGTATTCCTGTTTCTCTTTCAATCTGCCTGGTACTAATGTGTGGATCAAGATGAACAGCTGATAGAACAACCAATACTCGTACCTCATAGTCGTCGTATTGATGATGTCGGCGTTAGTGCACCACCTGTCCGGTACGTGCTCTTTCAGACAAGTTTCTTATTATCATATCAGTAAGATGTCTTCAGTCTCGGTACCATTCAGCGTACAGTTTCAATGTAACAGCATAATTGTTATGACGTTCCCCTAAAATTATTATCATATCAACAATTTCAGTAGGCGTATAATCTGCAATCTCTATTGAGTAAGCGTTCACAAAATAACTCAAGAACTTGGAACCTTAACTTACATATGTAATAATCTGATCAAATTTTAACCCATTAAGTCCCAAACGCACAAAATTTTAACGTTGACTTTGACCGCGCATCATTTTAAAATGAACGAGGGACTTTGAACTCAAGGCACATATACTTATGTTTTTGAGGTCGCTCTTTCGATTAGCGGTGTCGAAAATTCCGAAAAATAACGTTTAACCTATTATTTTTCAACAAATATAAAAAAAAATGCTCTTTTTGGACTCGGATTTTTTTTTCAAACCTAATTTCAGCAATGTTTCGAATGTCTAGGCAACTTCTAATACAGATAAAAGGTGTTCCCGATACTTGCACTTAAAAAATATGCAGCGAAACATTTCGATATATAGTGTTATCCAATTCAAAATGGCGTCCGAACGCCAAATTTTTGTTTTAAATTTCACAGATTCTTTTCTCGAAAACTATAGACTTTCATAAAAATTTCGTAAGAATAAAAATGTTTTAGATTTAGTCAAAGAATATACTTAATTTTTTTCAGATTGATCCGGTACGATTTTGGATTTTTCAAAAAGTCAAAAAATCGAAATTTCGAAAAACGTCCTTAAAAAATCTGAAAAAAATTGAGATCATTCTTTGATGAATTCTAAAACATTTTTGTTCTTTCCAAAATTTTATAAAAGTTTACAGTTTTTGAGATAGAATTTGAATAAAAATTCAAAAAGAAAACTTTACATATCAGTGACTTCAACATATCGAATGGAGATTAATTTTACGAAGTTTGTTAAGGAATTAGAATATAGTTTATAGGTGTAGGTTGTACATGTATTATTTTCCTACGCAGTAATTGCGTTTCTGTCAAACTGCAGAATTACCTTTATGCAAGAACCAAAAAAAAGTTGCTACGTTTCAGAATTTAACAACGCACTGCCACTATTCAAATCAAAGTAAATTCCTGTCATAAACTTGAGCGTAATTTTTTGTTCATTTCAATTTGAATAAAATCTCTACTAAGTTTTATATAAAACAGAGAACATAATGTCTAAAAGGAAATCTAATACAGCACTTGCCAATCAACATCGGCCAAATAACTTACAATTCCATTCATTCGAGTATGATGAGCACGAACATTTCGTGAACGGATGCATTATTCCATCTATTGACTTTACGAACTGTGAACATTCCGATTCAGATGCATCCAATATTTATGAGGATGATGATAATTCTAAATTTGATTCTTCTGAGATAATGGATAATTGCGATTCTAACTTTACTGTTCAATCTTATAATAATGTGTATGACAGTTATACCAGTTCACAAAAAAAATTGGAAGATAATCACAAGTATGAGTGGATCAAAGGAGAATATAGTCACAATTATACTTTATCAAATGAGCTTTTCCTTAGTAAAAATAATGTGTCTGCTATATTGAAAAGTACTCCGACAGAATTATTTGAATACTACTTTTCACTCGAACTTAAATCTTACATTATCAAATGCTCAAAAATAAATGATTATGATATCA